TGGTGAGGTAGGGTAAACGCTACTTTACCCTTACAGGAATGGAAGTAAATGTAACTCGATTTTCTTCACTGGAAGGAAAATCACATATGTCAAATGACCAGGAAAATATACTAATGCTTGCAAATTCAATTGTTGTGGCACACCATTATACTACATGACAATGGATAAAAATAGTACTTGCATGTGTTGAGTTTAGGATTCTAAAATGCAGATAAAAGGACCAATTTCCACTCCTGAGATTGAAGTAGTAGGGGAAAGTGCCAAAACAGTTTTAAAAATGTTCATGAGTAGTTATGTGGATTTCAAAGTTCTACATAAAGTCTTTTAAATTCCATTTTCCAAGCTTTTAAAGTCGCTTCTTAAACCAGGACCCTTTTTGTAAACAGTAGATGTAACTTCAGTCTTGGAAAAATATCCATTTAGGAATAACTGGTAGAAAGGACAGTGGGGAAGGGGTGAGGAGGTACTGATTGTTCTCATGTATAAAGGAGGCCTCTGGTGCCTTTCAATTCCAGAAGCCCGAGTCAAACTCAGCTTTGCTAATGGTTCAACTTTCCTTCGCACACACGTCTGCAGGAATTGTCACAGGATCAAATGAAATTCAAATCTCATATGGGTTTCTTTGCCTACTGAATCCTCATTCTGTGGTTTGTCACCACTTTATCCCTGGGGGAAAAAGCCTTTCAAGGGTAGGCGGAAGTTACAGGACTATAGCAAAAACTTAAACTTTTTTGTTGATATGGAATGCACTCATGTCCACTCTACTATCTTTCATCATGTATTTTAACTACTTTGTTAGGCTAAATTGTTTTCTTTCCTCATGTTTTGCATAGTAACTTTTAAAAAAGAATCATAACTCTGAAAAACCAAGATTTAAATCAGTATGAAACATTCAGATTTATACCCATTACTTTTCTATGTACAGTGATTAATTTTTGCTGCCTGGATTAGTGAACTGGTTCAGTTAAGAGGTTTTAGAAAATTTATGGGTTAGCTATTAGCATGTTAACAAAATGGCATTCTCATGTAAAGCATACTTTGCAACTTTTTAAAAGTGCTGCTTCAGAATGTACATTACACAGTAGAGATTGAGGGAGGCAGAGAGGGAAGTCTTTGCACCTGCTGGTCCACTCTCCCAGTGGCTGCGATGGCCAGGACTGGGTCAGGCCAAAGTCTGGCATTTCATTACTCAGGTCTGCCAAGTGGATGCAGAGACCCAAGTGTTTGGGCTGTCTTCTGCTTTTCCTAGGCTGTTAGCAGGGAGCTGGACTGGAAGTGGAGCAGCTTGGATCTGACTGACAGCCATTAAGGGGATGCTGGCATTGTTGGTAGCAGTTTTACTAGTTATACCACAATGCTGGACCCTCTTGCAAGTCATTATTTAGGATTATTTTAGGAGATTACAAATATGCAGTCATTACCTTAATAAAAAATTCACCGTTTTCTGAAGGAAATACCGAGAAGCTACAAAACACACGCAAGGAGAAGAGGCAGAGGTTGTAGTTGACCTTGCATCCCTCATCTGATTTTACTGAGAAAAAGATACACGAGCCAACTCAAGAAACCAGGTGGTGCATAAAGCTATCTAATGTTAAGTCTCATCCCAAGAGACTTATTCAGAACCCAAAATATAGAGATCCATCACTTGTCACCCACATCACTTAACCTGCAGGCATTTACTGAGTTTCCCATGTCTTTATGGTCACCTTGTTTTTAAGTCCTTTTCCTTTTGGGGTATTTGACTTATCTGTTTTCCTAGAAAGAGGTTAGCTATAGAGGAAACTACTAGAAAGAGTTACTGTTTTGCTACCTGCCAGTGAACAGGTACGGATTTTGTTCCCAATGCTTGGTTTTTAGATTTGGACTAGACATGAGTGGTTCAGTGCAGGAACAGAAAATGTGACTTTGTGTTTATTACATTCTAGACTCTGTGTCCATGACTGATCATAACCTTATTTCCTGCTGAGCTTGGAATCTTAACAGCAGCAAATGCAGCTACTATAAACAAATTAAAAGTTATCTGCTGCCAATAGTCTACAGTTGAAAGAACTAAAAGCTTCATAAGTTTCCTTCTTGCAGTATTATATTGTTACAGGCCTTTCCTGAAGTTTTGAAATCTTGTGTTTTCACTTGGACAAATAATGTTTTATCTTTAAAGAATTCCTTTAATTTTTTCCCCCAGAATACTTCAAATATTTTAAATGTGAATTAGGGACTCAACACTTGTGTCAAATAATATTAGCGTCAGAAATTTAAGACAATAAATATCATAGTAAGCTAAAGAGGACTAGTTTTCAATGTTACCTGTTTTAGGGGTGAGTTTTTCCAGATACTCCCGGGAGGAAATGCACACCAAAATGCCCCCAATTAAGGCCTGGGAAACTGGCAGAGCAAAAAATGTGGAAATTCTAGTTGCTTTTGTGCTACAGGTTTCCAAAGTGAGGAAATATGCCAAATGCCACAGGCTTTCAAATGATAATATACTTTGAATTAGCCACTAACAAGAAACGCCCACTGAGCAGTTCATAGGCTGTATCTCTCTGAAGGTCAGATCCTGTTGGCAGGTGACCAGCAGCCTTCCTCTCGAGCCAGCCAACCACTTCTCGGGCCAGGAAGCACTCTGCCATCAACTCAGCAGTAATTACAATTATCATTTGTGGTTAATCTAATAACACCCCTGAATATCCCAAAATGTGAAATAAAAGATGTTTTCTTTAGCTATGTAGTAAGTAGTAATGACTATAGCTAACTTTGGGGCAAATGTAACACAATTATACAGAGTCTCTTTAAAACCTAAGTATTTTGCCTCAAATAGTCATACTGATAAACTGGTCTCAATTCATACTGAGGGTTTCTAAATCTTTAGCAAGTCTTAATATGATGCTTTCATGCCATTCTAGTAAACTCATTTTCAGTTGAAGTGAGAAAGTTGAAATTCCAGTTGTTTAATGCAAGTTGAATGAGAACATATTTAATATAGAGTTTAGCAGTCATTCATCCAGCATTTATTGGATCAAGAGCACTATTGGGCATCAGGGGTCAGAGAGAAGATACACGGAGTAAAATAGGAATAGCTTCCGATTCTACAGATGACAATCTAGTTAGAAATCTTGAATTAGACAAGTTCAGAAATGCAGTGATTGAGATGCATACGAAGCAGCTGTATGAAGGGTACTTTCATTTTTCAGGTTAACAATGGACTTTCTGCATTGAATAGGCTAATTTTGATTTCTACTGTAAAGAAATTTAAGCTGAAATGAGAATAGAGTGTCTACTTTGGACACACTACGTTGTGAATTTTGAACGCGTATATGTTGGATGTGAAAATGACCAGTGCTTATTATAGAAATACTTTTAACTAAAGCAGTTTCCAGGGGGGAATTATCATTTTAGGTTAATGGTCATTTGCTTCATGTTCAGCCCTCAATTAAACTCTGAACTTCAATTGTTATTAGTTAAGTGATTCAGTTATATTTCATGTCAATATTTCAAAATGACTTTCCTTTAAAAAAAAAGTCACCCATAGTACCAGGAGTCTTGAGGGGATCCTGGCATGGTTGAAAACAGTTCATGCTAATTTCATATACAGTTGTGTCTAGATTTGCTTAGCTTTGTTTTATCACTAGGGTACTTTTCATCCTTACCTAGGACATGAAGCAGATCAGGATAAATGCAAAGGATGAAAAACAGAATGAAAATTAAACATCTGTTGCCACAGATGTTAAGATGTCAAATAAATCCACCAAGATCAGCTTTATTCTAACTGCCGGGAGTTAGTCTCGATACCTTGAGTATCACAATTAGATACTGTCAAGTTATGCTTATTTAACAAGTCACTACTTACAAGTGACCAAATGTTAAGTTTTCAACTAGTTAGCTAGAACAACTAAAGTCTCCTTTATTTATGTATGAAACATTAGTAAGAACAAGAATATGTCCGAGTTGGGTTTTGTATAAAGCATGTATGACATGAACACTGAACTTCACTGTATTTACTGAAATTAAGCCATCACATGAGCATTTCCCCTTCCCCTTATATTGTGGAAACATTTTTAAAAGTCTTTTTGAAGTACTTTGATCAAGCTTTGAAATCATTTTGTGGATGGCTATTGTACGAAAATTGTAATTTATAGTGCTTGACCTAAGCAGCTCTTTGTCCCACTGCCACATTTAAGACAATGGCAGGAAAGTAAGGAACACAAGGCGAGCCCAAGCTGCTCTGGTTATTATTTAACTAACAATTCCATCTTCCTCACATGATCTCTGCAAGCCAGGCATGTCCTTAGTAAAATAGGTTCAGATAATGTTTACTATGAGGAACATTAGCTTTGGGTAATACAATTAGATGAGACCAATGCTGTCACATGCAACCCTCTCCTTAACCTGAGTTATGGTTAAGATACGTGTTTCTCTAGAAACAGGGTGGACATTGAAGGCAAACTCCCATTGTTTGCCTTTTAGTTTCCTCTCTAGTAAAGCTGGTTTTGTTCTGTCTCTCAACATCAAGAGTGTGACCATTGGGAGGATTTCTGCTTCCATTCTTGTGACATAGTAGTTAGACATGAAGCCAACATGCTCCCATCAGATCACATGGGAGATGGCATGCTGCTCCAAGATAAACGAGGAAGTCATTCTTTGAAGTAGTAAAATGTCTTTAAAAGTTTAAGTCAGTTGAACACTAGACTGAAAGTTGTAAAGCTTTTCAAGTTTTAGCTCCTTTTGCCAGAACTTTCACTAAGGGCACAAATCCCAAACTGTAACTCTTAAGTTGTCTTCTTATTTGAGTTTGAAAATCTTCAAGTGCTACATGAAATTGAATACTTTGGCCCATTTCTCCTCTAATATCTTCTCTATTGTCACCCTAGATATAGACCAAGTCTATGAGGGATGCATTTTGATACTTGATCTTTCTTTAAAAAAAAAAAGGCTGAAAGTAGTGAAAATATGGAGACTAAGTTGAAGTGAAAGAAAGTCATCACGACTTCATCAAATTGAAGAGAAAAGGAAAAAATGGGTGTAGCTACCCAGCAAGAGGTGCATGGATTAACTGTTCACTTTGGCACTGTGTGTTAATTAGTGTGGCCCACCAGGGACCATTTAGTAGATTACCTCATCTGGGTTCTGGCTTGATGTGTTAATACACTCCCCAAAGACCAACAATTTTATCTTTTCTACAGTGGAATCAAACCTTGCTGATGAACAGGTACATACACCTAGGGTTATTTTGTCCTAGATGTGATTTTAGGAGTGTTCTGAAGAGTTGACATGTACTTCCTTGGAAGGCAGAATTTGATTGGCATGAATGGGTGAATGGGAAGGATTCCATGAAGTCACGTTACGTGGCATCCTGGATCAGCTGTGCTGAGCTGGTCCCTCTCCATACTTCAAATGGGTCCCTCAGTGTTGCACAGCAGCTTCTTGATAGACCTATGTGACAGGGGGAACTTTATTTTACATTCTATAGCTAACCTGTAGTCTGGCAAGTCATTAGCATTGTGTGCAGAGTGCGCCCCAAAATGTCAGTTTTAACCAATGCATTCTAACGATAACTGCCACAAAGTGTTGTCATCCTGTACTTTGTTGTCCAACAAGCAAGCAAATACCAGATAGACTTGGAGCAATGAGGCTTGAAGTTTCCAGGGAACCTTACTCCCTTTCCCTGTTTTATACCCCACCCAATTATGGTTGTAGCTATTACAATCACATTCATTTTTGTATAGCGGGAAATTTGCCTTTGAATGCTCATAATCTTGTTGCATTGTGTAGAATTTACTGTTGCCTTCTTTCTTACTTTTAAAGGCCAAAGTGAAAAAAGCATAAAGACGAGGGGGTGCCTTCGCTGAGCAGCACCATTTCCTTGCTACACATGTCAGGGCACCAGGTGGAAATAAAATGTAAGAACCTTTAAAAATTCCTTAAGTTTGTGCATGATCATAAATTTGTTTTACGTTAACCAAAACCTTGACAAGGGCTTAACAGGATTTAACATCTGTACAGATAAGTGTAATTTATTCCAGAAGAAAAACATTTAGGATATGCTATGAAACCTGCATTTTAATGTGTTTGTGCAGGAAATTTGAGTTGTTATATTTCACAAAATCTACATGAATTTTATACTGAATTCAAGAAATAGGATATCTTCCCCATTATCTTCTTTCCCTCATTGCAGCCAACTCGAGTTAAAATAATCTGATAAGTCTGTGTTCCAAAAAGGAAAAGTGATTGAGTTTTGCAGACCATCTTAGGGACAAAATAAGCAGAACATAAATGCTGTATTAAGTCTTTCAAAGGAAACAAAGCAATATATGTAATTAAAAAGATTTAAGTCTTCCCAAAGTTACTTATTGAACATTAAGTATTTTCAGGTTGGGGCAAATGTTTACCTAAATACACTTTTGGTGCAGATTTTTACAGTTTCCAAAAGAATGTTTATTCGTGCTTTTACTTCAGACTGGAGTCTGGGCTGTAGTATATAAAAGTGAATAAAAGGAAACAAGAAACCCTATATTTTGCTTATTTAAAATTGTTCTGGGCTTATTTCTGGCACACTTAATTCAAAGCTGAACAAAGTTATTTGAGTGTTGTGTAATTATGTGATGTAAAATGCAGATATAAGTGGTGTACTGTGTTTGCTTAGGCATTTCACGGCCCATTTTTATAATGTGAAAAGTAGAATCAGAGGAAAAGGAGATCTCTCCAAGCTGCTGGTTCACTACCCAAATGGCTAAAGGAGCTAGGCACTAACAGGGGGGCTGGGTTCAGGGGCAGAGCTGCCCCCCTTGATCACATGTATGCTGAAGCCCCAGATGCCATCCTAACCATGATGCCAAGCTTCTGACCCAGAATACGCTTTTGTAAAGTTTACTCAGTTACATATGAACAGCTAGTCATGCTGTTTAGAAAATGACCTCTCCTTAATGCTTGCTTCGCACTTGCTCTTCTCCACACAGCCTGCATTCTAAGAGTATGGCTTCCAGACACAGTAATTAATACTGTTAAATGAGATAAATGTAGATTGTTGGGAATTTCCTTTTATAATGCTTATTGAACACCCATCAAATATGTTGTTTGCAGCTTGGCTTCAGGGCTTTGAGGTCAGGAAACCATGAAAGACAAAGGACAGAAGGAGCTGGCAGAGCAGGCTACCTTGTATGCTCTCCCGGAGCCCTGCAGGCAAGAGCAAACATTTGCTTTCAGGTTTCATGTCTTCAGCTTCTCTAGGCTTGTGTTAGATTACTCCCTGGTGGTAATGCAACACTGAGTATGTGAGTGCACAGGAGAAGGGGGAAGGTGAAAGTGAATGGAGGCTTAGGAAAAACAAAGGACAATTCGGTAACTGGGAGAACCGAGAAATCACTTTTCCGTCCCCACATTTTTCCTTTTGTCTAGCATACAAGGAGAAACCATCCGGAAGGAAGGAAGATTATGACTATCTATAAACTGTTTCAGAGACAGAAATGCTGATAATGAGTGGGTTGTGTCTGTAGTTCTTGGCTGTTCACATCAGCAAGGGATGAAGGAAAACAGAAACTCTTGATATGTTTGTCTAAAGAGGTAGTGGTGTGACCACGGGCAGCAAGAGTTCAGCTGAAGTTCAGGGCAGATGTTGCCAGGAGTTTATTCTGCAGGAAAGCCAAATTGCTTCCGGATTCGCCTCTTCCTCCCAGCTTCTCTTCTAGGATCTTGAGTGTCAAGCGATGCTGTGGCCTAAGGTGACAATGTCCGTGGGGAAACAGGCTTTAAGCAGGATACCCCTCTCCCGGTTGCAGTCCAGCTCCTGGATAAATCCATACCAATAGATGACCAAGCCTGGTCCAAATCTGCAAGAAAACCCAGGAAACAACAGTCACACGAGTGGCAACATACGACGAGTCATTCTGAAGGCACGGATAGAGATGAATGGCTTGGTGTTCTAAGGTTTCCTTTTTAGCGTTACTGTTGTGACTGACAGCTAGCTTAATCTGTACTCAGGAGTCCATTAAGTACAAGTATTGACACCTTGGATGAGGTGTGTCTTTTAATGAACCTGAAGCATTCTGGACCTGGAATTTGCTGGTGTTTCCTACTTGTCAGTGGGGAAAATTCAAGTAGAAATAGGGCCAACCCAGGGGTTAGCTGGCTGGAGATTTTAGCTTCATATTTAGCAGATATCACTTTAAAACTTGAACTGGGAAACCAATGAAACAGGTTAAAGAAACTAGACGAGCTTAAAGTCCTCCTCTGACCATGACGTTTTAGTTGTGCATCAATAGGGCCAGAGTGCTTCCTGACATCCAGTTAAAATCTGTGACACAGGTATAGCAGGGACCTTCTTCCCCACTCACCACCTTTGAACTCTCACGTGGATAGTGACCGACATTTGGTCATAGGGTCTTATGGAGACTAAGAATAAAAGTCCCAGAAGTGCATGTGTCACAAAGAGATGGACGTAGGCTGGAGAGCTAGATATTTCTAAAGTTGTGCCTCTGAATTTTCTTCCGTTAGGAGTGACTGATCTCCACCTTGTCGACTCAGGAAATAGCCCAAAAGACTACTTCACCCATCAGGAAGTTGAGACCTTTAGACCGGGTTCGTAAAGATATAATCACTATCAATCACTGTGTACGGAGAGATGTTTTGCACATCAGTTTCATGTTTTTCCTACGGAGAGCACTTAATTAAAGGGCAGCACTACTTTTGGTGTAGTGTTGCAGGAATTTTACAGTGAAATCATAAATTATGAATGTTGGGTTAGTAAAAGGATGTCTAAAAACAGAACTGCTCTCTGTATTCTAACATTACAGCAGGCTGAACTATCCTAGGCCAAAAAGCTTTTTCCTTCCATGATTTATTACATGCTATAGTACAGTTGCCAAAACTAACAGTACAGGATGGGCTGTGAGATACTGTATGTGCAGGAACAAGTTCACTTCGATGTCATGCACTAGTTTCAGGATTCACTCGAGTAGGGTAGCCACGTTACAGCCACAGTTACTTTTTAAATCTTCATGCAGAGAGAGAGCCATGAGATGTGAGATCTAGGTAGGCTATTAGACCTAAAGACCACTGAGATCTACTGGAGTTTGGAGTGGACTGCAGTGTTTTTCCATTTGCATCTCAAAGGAAGATTTTTTTTTAGAACAAGTAGGATCCCTGGGCACGGGGCATGTTGAGCCCCAGTAAAGTACACACATTAACCTTGTATCTGACATGAACTTCCATTCATTTACCAAGGTTTTCCTGGTAACTTTGCACAATGAACAGTCTTTGTAACTAGAACATACACCATTTGGTGCTTAATTTTCCAAAGGGCTCTGCGATAGACAGCACATGATCTTAGAATTCTAACAACAAGATGTGCAGTTCTGTGGACCACATCTAAGAAGTCTCAAACCTGTCCATTGGCAAGGCATTCCAAAGTCAGTCTTGACAGACCTAATGTTAAGTGCAATACATTTCTTCAGTTTATTATGTAGCCATTCTGGAGACATTTCTTTAGAAAGGCACTAGGTTTTTTTTTTTTTTTTTTTTTTTTACAAAGGGAGAAAGAAAGTGATCTAATGAGTCACAGAGAAGAACAAAAGAATATATGGGATCATAAAAAACAAGCCCAGTATTTTAAAGATTTAATAAAAAGCACGTATCACTAGCACAGAGAGCAAGAGCAGCCTGCACTTTTCCTGAACAGCTAAATCAAGCTGTAGGACATGGAGCATGACAGCTCTTTACAAAAATGGCATTTTCCAGGCAGAGAAGTCAGGCTGGGGACACCTTGATGCCCCAGCAAATGGACTGGTTTCATTTGTGTGGCACTAGATGAAACGTGTATCTCAAGGAGGATTTGCAAGCTTGTGAATCTGAACATTTCACATAGTGGCTTCACAACCAGGATTTCCTAAACGGAGTCACACAATCCAGGATCATTTTCAGGACAATTCATAAGATCGCTCCTGTCTATGACAGTCTGCTTCACATGGAGTTACATTAGGTTAGGTAGCATCCCACATAACACAAAATGTGATAAAGTGCCTGTTTAAAAAGTGAGTAGCAGTTGGAGATTGTGGTACAATGTTAACCCACTGCTTGGGGCACCTGTATCTCATCACGATGCCATTTGCAGTACCAGCTCATCCATTTTCCAATCTGACTTCCTGCTAATGCATCTTGAGACACCAGATGCATGGTGCAAGTACCTGGACCTCTGTCACCCAAATGGAAGATCCTGATGGAGTTTGGCTTTGGTGTGGTCCTTTCCTGGTAACAGGCATTTGGGAAGAATCTCTCCCTGATTATTTCTGTGCATTTCAGCTGGATGAAAACAAATGTTTAAAAGAATTGTAATTTTTAAGTAGACTTGCAGATATTTCAGTGACAAAAATTTAATGGCAAGTTAAGATCTGCCTTCTGGTTGGCATGATGGCTCAATGGCTAAATCCTCACTTTCTAAGTGCTGGAACCCTATCTCGATATGGTTCATGTCCTGGCTGTACCACTTCCCATCCAGTTCCCGCTTGTGGCCTTGCAAAGCAATAGAGGATTCCCCAAAGCCTTGGGACTCTACAACCATGTAAGAGTTTGGAAGAAGCTCCTGGCTTCAGATTGCAGCAACTTGGGGAGTGAACCAGCAGATGGAAAATCTTTCCCTGTAAATCTGATCTGCTTTTCTAATGAATTTAAAAACAGCACCTTACCAAAAATAGATCTGCCTTGTTCCCCAATAGTCTCTTCAGTACTTAGCTTTCTGAAGCAGCCCAGCAATCTAGATGATTGAACATGTGTGCTTATCTTTCAGCAACTTATCTGTTGATGAGGAGTTTGAACACAGCTAACAAAGGAATTGATCATAAGACACTAAGCATGTTTTTGGTTGGAAATTTGAAAAATTAAGTCAATCAAAAACTGTAGCATTTCCTTCTGAGGAGTAAGAAATAGGAAAAAAAACAGGAATTAAAATCTTGATGTACAGCAAGTTCAATCTTATGTACTGAAGTTTCACCTTTTGGATGCTTGTTTTCATTCACTGAAGTACCACTCAAGAATGAGATCACCATAAAGACAAATTTCTGTGACCAATGAGAGTCATGGAGACTCAATCGCATTTGAAAGAGAACAGTTCCTGGGGCTGAGCACATTAGCATAGTGGCTAAAGTCCTGCCTTGCTTCCATCGGGATCTCATATGGGTGCTGGTTCACGTCCCAGCTGCTCCACTTCCCATCCAACTCCCTGCTTGTGGCCTGGGAAAGCAGTCTCAAGGGAAAGCCCTGGGACCCTGTTCCCACAGGTGAGATGTGAAGAGGCTCCTGGCTTTGGATCTGCTCAGCTCTAGCCATTGTGGCCACTTGGAGTGAATACATGGATGGAAGATCTTTGCCTCTCCTCTAATAAAAAAAAAAAATCTTTAAAAGAAAACAGTTTTAGGACAATGTGCATAGCACAGGACTGTTCTGTTGTGGGGATTGCATACCTCTTCACAAACACAGGGACCTCAGCAATGAATGCACATGAGCATTTGAACCAGTTCTGTAATCATTTTTCAAGACTGACTAAATTTACACTCAAAATAGTAATATCAGAGGATCCTTCAACAGATTTCAGAGACTTCGGGGAAAATGGATTAGAATGCGAGTGACTTCTGAGCAAGAAATCTTTCTTCCAAATGAAGTTATCATTGAGAAGAAACCAACATCTCTGGAGGATAAAAAGATGGGAGGTGAAAGTCAAGAGTCATGACAAAACTTGTAAGCACAAACATGGTTTTTCATGAACGACAACCATAAATACATTCAAAATGTGTTTCTCTGGTTACTTTCCATTCCAGCCGCTTCAGAAAGAAGCAGCTGTGGAACGAAAGTCAGGGTTCCTTTGTCATCTCTTAAGGATTATTCCCATTTCAGCATTAGTCCCTTCATTATACTAGGATTTAGCTGGTAGCAAAGAGCATACTGCGTTTGCATGCATGCTCTCCATGCCTAGCACGGTGCCTAGTGCATGACAGATACCCTCGAGTACAGGATGGAGAAGAGATGTGTTATCAGATAAGTGACAGTACAGAGAGAGGTGCTGACTGGACTCAGTGTGACATGGTGATGTGCTGACCAGGAATGAGCACGCCAATGGCAACTTTAGGTCATGGTGGTAATAAATGTTATCAGGACAACACTGTAACAGCACTGATAGGCACACACTAATACTACATGTATCATTCTCAAGTGTCATGCCAGTCCTATAAAGGTGGGCATGATGATTGTACTTGATGCATAAATGAACATAGAATACAGTAACTGGTAGGTTTGCTGAAATTTTATACCTATAAAGTAGAGGAATCAGCTGTGTAAGTCAAACAATGACTGCAGCGATGTAATGATCAGCTTACTGCACAGGGTGATTCAGCAAGACTAGGCACTGGTTAGGCCCTACCTAGAATTTGAGTTGTTGGATGCTATATCTTTAGAGGTTTATCTCCAGTGTAGTACTGACCCAGAGACTCTGAAGGTTTCATAAGTGTTTGGCACAAAAATGTCTGGTTTAGAAATGAGTGCTTAGGGAGGTAAATTGCAGGGTGGCAGACATTTTAACAGTTTCTTGGGAAGAGGAACACGAATTATGGTGTAACCTCACAAGTGCAGATCTAGGGCAATGTCTGAAAGTGGCCAGAAATCAACATTCAACAAGACTTTCTAGAAAATTTCTTGAAAACATGGAGCATCACTTGACACATCTTTTAAAAAAAAGGCCAGGTGTGTAATTCCTTAAACTTACATATTAGGAGATTTTTAAAACCAAATTCTGCAGAATTGGTTTCTTTGAAAAATTTGTTGACCTGTCAACAAGCAACTGAAG